AAGTCGACTGGTGCCTATGTCGTCTACTTTGGCAAACATCCGATCTCTTGGTCGTCAAAGAAACTTCCTGGACATTCCCGATCTTCCACCGAGGCCGAGTATCGTTCAGTTGCAAACACTGCAGCTGAGCTGCGTTGGCTTGTTTCTCTCCTCTTGGAACTCGGCATTTCTCTTTCGTCGGCTCCAACTATTTTTTGTGATAATATTGGTGCTACTTACCTTAGTGTCAATCCTATCTTTCACTCTCGGATGAAGCACTTAGCATTGGACTACTTATTTGTTCGTGGTCAAGTCGAGTCTGGGGCACTTCGGGTACTTCATGTCAGCTCAAAAGATCAGTTGGCCGATGCTCTCACCAAGCCTCTGCCTCGCACTGCATTTCATGATCTTTGTGTCAAGATTGGACTCACCTCCGATGCTCCAACTTGAGGGGGCATATAGGAGATATGGATATATTATAATCTTTCTCACATTAGGAATACTTCCTAATCTCTAGATATTATTGTTATTAGTATCTTCATGTACATTATTATATATAAGCACCATGTATCAAAACCCTAATCAATAAGAATCTCAATTATCCTACAATATGGTCCAACTCTTCATATTGTAAAATCGGTCACAATCGAGCCTATTATCGATTTTGTGTCTACAGATACATGTTAAAATCATAGAGACATTAATGGTGAATAGGAATGATATTTTGGGCATAAAAATTCAATCGAATTGAGTGATATATCATACGGTATTAAAGCTGAATTCGATATAAAAACCAATTGAATGCGATTTTTTAAAATTAAATTGATTGAGCGTTGACGTAATAGAGAGCAGATCTTTTTGAAATATAAATAACTTTTTTAATAAAAACTGTAATACAAAAAAACGAATGTGGAAATAAGAAACCTAAATATCCGCTCAATTATAGCCCGATTGTTGTATATATCCGCATACTATACAAATAATTATATGTAGACGTGAGTATATAATTACTTATACGTAAGTATATATATATATATGCGCGAGACAGAGAGACTATACGTACGTGCATGTCAATGTAATTTCAGTATTGGTCCCAAAGATTTGCACGAAGGAGAAAAGACAAAAGAACACGTGATAACATAATGGGTACTTTTACATTTAATATTTCCTTTGTTTAAAAACAGGAGAAGGGTAAAACAATTTAAGATAAATTATAAATAACCATTTATGATTACTAAATCGTATAAATATCTTATTAATAGTATTATACTGTATGATGAGAATTCAGAAATGATGACAATCATCACACTCGTTCTCAGCAAGGAAAAAACTATATCTATTTACCTAACCCACTTTGATCTTCACTTATAATAATATTTAATTGTATCGGCATAAAAATTTTTATCTAAAAATCGTTTATATTCAAATTTAATATGAATATAATATGAATCAAATTAACAAAGAAAACTAATATAAAATTTAATGGGAATTTTTTAAAAAAGTAAAAAAATATGAATAGAATAGGAAAATATTTTTTAAAATAGGAATATATAATTAATTACTATTATCTATAATAGTCATAATAATTCATTGAGAAATACGGAGAATAAAACCAGTTTTGTATATTTTCTAATGTAATTGGTGAATTTTGATTTCTCACTGAATCAAAGTAAAGCAACGACCTTCACTTAAAATGTAAGGAAGTAACAAGTTGTTTGGTGGGGTAAGACAAATCTACCAAACTTCACCTCGTCCACAACTGCTTTTAGTTATAATCTTACCGACACACTTTCCTCGTTGCTCATTAATAGGGTCAAAGCCAACTATCGATTATTTTTATTAATATTTAAATTCGATTCTAATCTTGGTAAATCTTTTAGTTTTAAAAAAAGTAACAAAAAGCTTCAATAACAATTTTGTGTTTTTGTAAAAAAAAAATAACGATTTTGTGTTTGTCGAAATACTTTGCAGTTTACAAGGTTTGGAATTATATTAAAATTTTTACAAGATTGTATATCTTTATAATCCAATCAACCACCTATGTATTATTTATTTTGTAATCATGTGGATTTAATTTTTTATGCAGATCTATATTTTTATATTTTTTTTCGTCCACATGAAGCCATTTTTTTGGATAACTTAACAAAAAAATTGTCTTGTATAAAAAAAATAAAAAATATTTGAATTAATAGAAAATTATAGTTCATAAAAAAAATTGCAGCATGTATCAAACATAAGTGCTAGTAAGATCGAAACATATTATCTTGGATAAAACGAATTTTATTCTAATATTTTCCACCATGAATGACAGATAATTTATGATGAAAAAAGATAATAGATAGATATATATTATGATAAAACCTTATATTTCTAACATTTTTTTTCACCAAAAAAAATATTTCTAACATTTTGCAAATTCGTATTTTTTGTATATTTATTTTTTGTTAGATAAAAAGAATAATATAAAGATGCGTTGTCCAATAAGATAAGCGACAAACAGTGGGAGGGACCGAGACACGGGTGGAGTGGAGGGGTCACGTGACGTGGCCTCAGAAACTGTAAGACCTCCCACCCATCACATGGGACCCACAACCAGTTACATCATCGTCACGTCACGGAGGAAGACTATTTCACACGCGCTCCCTTAGGCGCGTGATATAGTATAGAATGTTCTTGGACGACTCAGCACGTGCCATCGACCGCGGCGTATGTTGTAGGTAGGTGAGCTGAATAGTTGTGGCGGGTTCCCCTTCGTCAGTTGTTTCATTTTAAAAGAATCTTACTAAAATAGAGCTTAATTAGATTTTATATTTCGTTGATAATAAGTTTATTTTAAATTTTATAAAAAATTTAATAATTCACTTTTATATCCATCGTATTTCTCATTATTTATTTATTTCAATACAATATTTACTCAAACATATACTTATTTAAAAAAATATTTACTTTATTCAATAGATATATTTTTATTTTTATTTTTAAAAGATATGTTGAACCGATTTTTAAATTATTCGTTTTGATTTGGTATTATATTACTAAATCGCAATGTAGTTTTTTGTTGTCAAAAACATTATTAGACAAATGGAAACATACGCCGACAAAGTCGAATTATTTACGGCATCCATATGGCAAAATGAATTGAGTCTGTTTACCAAAAAAAAATGAATTGTGAAATATTATTCTAAAGGATGAATTTGGACGCTTAATCTATTTTAATAGTCGAAGTTGTTGGACCGTATTAATTAAATTGCTTAAATTATTTACAGAGACCTAATTATTTACATTAGCTTTCCAGAATACAAAAAACATTGTTAGTTTATCTTTTACAAAAAAAAAAACATTGTGAGTTTATTATCTTTTTCGAGTTACGACCAAAGTACGCAATATATATTCCATTCTCAAATTGTTGATAAAAACAAAACAATGAAACTTATATAAGTACCAAAAAAGTAAATGCACTGATTTTGATTTATTTTTTTTCCTATGTAAGAGATATATCAGTGATCCTATGTAAATCACTGTAAATATACGCTGATTCAAGACCTCGTTTTAAAATATGGTGGGGCGAATTAAAGTTTATATTGGATCTTTAAATATATTGCCATTGGTAGTACATTGTCCATGTCCTGCATTATAAATATATAAGTATGGTGAAGGGGAGTAATTGTTGGTGTAAATGGTATGGAAAATGAGCAGTTCCTCGAAGACCATTAGACAAAGAAAAATACGGAAATGAATTGAACGCAATAAGATATCTACCTTCTCGATTATCTATTCCAATTTTTTTTTTAAGTCTATTCCAATTTTTTTTAAAGTTAAACATGTTCGCTTTCAAACAATTTAAAGACGAGTGATTTACTAAAAAAAATATTTTTCGGTATACGTTTGAGTGAAGACAAATCATGTTAAAAATTTTCGTATTAATTTGTGAGAGCAGTTTCAATATTCCATAATGGTATCGTAGTGTTAGTTTATATATACATATATACATATGTGTTTGCAAGAACATAGGATTCCTTTTTTTCGTAATGATGGATACTACACCAATAAATTTTCCCAGCAAATTATGATGGGTGTTTTTGACATTAAATGGGACAATCAGTCATATCGCATTTGACAAACATATATATTACGGTATTAATTCCGATATTTCAAATAGGATAATCATTTTAGAATTTTATACATAATATTGAAAAGCATTTTCTTGAAAGGAGAACATTTGAAAATTCATAAACTTGTAATTTGGTGTAATATTAATTTCTGAACTTGTAGGTGCGTCTATTTATTCCCGAACTTGCATTTTTGAACACATTAATTCCTAAACTTGTTTAACAGTTCCATAATTGTGCATATCGCTAATTGATCAAAGCAAAGTTTAGAAATTACTGTGTTAAAAAATGCAAGTTTAGGAATTATTGTGTTAAAAATGTAAGTTCAGTGTTAAAAAATACAAATTCGAAAATAAATAGACATACCTACAAATTCAGAAATTAATATTACTATCAAATTACAAGTTAAAAATTTTTTAGGTATTTTTTTTATATTCTCGATGAAAAGATATCCAGATTTCTGTAAACATTTTCTAATTCATTTGAATCAACTGTGTTTAAAACAATGAACGATTAAAATGAATATATCAAATTTTGAAAAATAAACGTTTTAATAAAAAAATCAAATATAACATCATTTGAATTTAATTAAATTCGATCGATAAAAAAAATGAGATAAATACAATTTTCCAGACAAAAAAAAAAGCAATGTAACTCGAATTTAAAATTATATAATTTTTTATGTTTTCTTATGAATTAACAAGAAGAGCAATTAAGTGACGAACACACTAGAATTTTCTTTAACTGTATCATGCACTAAATGGACCAACCACTTTCCGGAAAACATATAATAATGTGCCACCTGCCAATATCTCCATGTGTGTGTATATATATATATACATATACATATATTATTTATTTATTTATATATCTATGTATTGCTCTTTCAATTTATTGTTTATACATTAGGTAGACATTAAAAAGACCTCGCGACAGTTTTGTCTAGAGAGTTTATACTTACGTTCCTGCACAGTACATTAAAAGGAAACCACTTTATGCAGAATGAGCAAACATTAGTGAAGGCCCCATCAACCGAAATTTAGCCAATATTACCATTTAGCCCTTAGCGTTTGCGTTTTGGGTTCTGCGTTTCCTCACATTACGGTACAAGCGTTTGGATTCTCGTCGCTAAAAATCTGCGGTGGCGGATAAGCGTGCGTTTCGACCGCCAAACGCGGTGGATAGTAATAATAGTAGTAAGGATTCTCTATCTTTTTCACCTCCAAAATTCTCTCTTCCTCTGTCCCACCGTCGCCGTCCCCACCAGCGTTTGCGTTTTCAGACGCCTTGCCTTCCCCGTTCTCTCCGTCGTCTCCTTTCTTCTCCTCGTCCGAGGGGTTTACCTTTTCGCCCTTGGAATCGTCGTTATTGTCGCCCTTCCCTTCTTCTTTCTGCGTCCCATCATCGCCCGAGGCGGCGGGTGGCTCGGCAGCGGGTGGCGGTGGGTCGATCTTAACGACCACCGCATGTTTGCCGGTGCGTTTGTAAACGTACTCGACTAGCGCCGGCGGTTCAAACGCTCCTTTCACCGTCACTTGTGAACTCTTTAGTTCAGATTCCGCGGATTCAACACCTAATCAATGAATGGAATAAATTATACATTGATTAGATAAATTTATTTACTCTTGGAAAATCGAAATTTTGTTGCATCTTTCAGATGGTCCAAAAAATATGTGGACCCCACTATGTATATACAACCGAACGAAATCATGTGATATATATACTAAACACGAAGCAAGGAAATTATATATATATATATATATACATATATATATGGTGGTACATGCGCATGTGTAATGCATGTACGAGTGTATGTTAAAGTCGAAGCAGTACTATATTGTTTTGAACTTTATGGACCCAATCGAATAGAATTGTGAATGTCAATTTAAAAGCATAAAAGAGAGTCGATATAAAGTGGGAAATATAAGCTTCTCGATAAAATAAATTGAATAAATAAATAAATAAAGTAGGAAACATAAGTGGACGGTTTTGCAAGCAATTGAAACTTTTTTTTTTTAAAAAAATCGACCAATATTCAAAAAGCAAAGAAAATAAACTAAAATCCAAAATAACTTTCTTTTCTTGTAATAATGATAAGTCTTTCGCAGCAAATTGCCCAAAAAGTCGATAGATAACATGATATAAAAATATATACATATATACATATATATGTAATTTAAATGATAGGGGGAAATTGTAAAGAAGAACATTACCTTTCATTCTCTGACTCCGTTTCTTGATTTACATAACATAATTTAAAAATATATATAATTATTGGTGTAAATTGTAGAGAAGAAAAAATACCTTTCATTCTCTGAATCCGTTTCTTGATTTCCATGGCACAAGCCTCACAGTGCATGTGAACCTTGAGCACCACCGTCACCACCACCGGCGTCTGACCCATATAATATTTTTTTAATGTAAATAAAACTATATTTTAACAAAAAAAAACTATATTATAGATTTAATAATATTATTATCTTGATCACGCCCTAAGTCTTGCTGATTCAGAAAAACAAAATACTGGAAAATATAAAAGATGAGGACATTTTTTTTCCTGTCACCTCTGCTTTCTTCTCCTCTGGCTTGGGCTTTTCCTCCGCCGCCGCCGCCTTCTCCTCCGGCGGTGGAAGCGGCGACAAGAGGTCGACGTGGCGGTGGGCTTTACGTTGAACTCTCTCCACTACCTTCAATGGATCCGCCTTCTCCCCCTTCACCACCACTTTTCCCGTTTTACAATCCGTCTTCACTTCCTCCACTCCTAATTAAAAAAAAAATCACCATTTTTATTAAATCAACAAATAACTATGGTTGGTTTCTCATACCAAAAAAAAAAAAAAAAAAAACTATGGTTGGTTTCCTATTTGTTTTTATTATAAAAAAATTTCCAAACCCGAGGAAAGTATGTATGGGGTGACAGTAACGTTATAACATACGGAAAACGAATTTCTTGAAGTTAACAATTAATTATGACAATCCACCTAAAGAAGAATCATACTATGTATATCATGTTTGTATACAAACATACGTAGAGATACGTGAATAAACAAACGTATACATACGGAATGAATATATATATATATATATATATATATGTATGTATATAAATGGATACCTTCGAAGCCTTTGAGGCAGCGGCGGATTTTCCGAGCACAGCCTTCGCAGTGCATGTGAACCCTGAGGACGATCTCTTGCGGCGGAGGCGAGGAATCTTCCTTGGAATCTTTAGATTCTTCCTGTGTTTTCTTCTCAGCCTCTTCTCCTCCCTCTTCTGCCGGTTTCTTCTCCTCCATCGTCTTCCCCTCTCCTGCTTCTGGTGGCCTCTTTTCCTCCTGATTCAAGAAAATACGTAAAACAAAAACAAGTGGAAGAAGTTTTAGATATGAGGGATTTCTCCATGTGAGATTTTGAAAGAGGATAAGGGTTTGGGATTCTCTTGGACCTCTCCCATTTGATTTCTTCTCTCTTCTTCTTCCTTCTTTTCTTGGGGTTTGTGTCTTTCTATGTGCACGAAAATTTTATGCTCGAAGAGAAGCTTTAAATCTCTCTCTCTCACTCAACTGTGAAGCCCACAAAAGACCACTTGGGTGTTGTACAAGATGGAGTTGTGGACCTCAAGATCTTGAAATAAATTGTTAAAAAGTATATATTCACACAAAAGGTTTATTTAATAATCGAAAACAAATTGGACGGTAATTTTTTTTTATTCTAAACATGATTGATAATATTTGTTGCATTTTGAAAATATTTTAGCAGTTTCAACTTTCAACCCGGCGCTCAAGGTTTTTTTTCAATTTTAAAATATATTATTTTAGCAGTGAATTAGCGAGACAAAATGACTTAAAAAGAATACAGCGGACGAGATTTTGTCATTTTGACACGTTTATCGTGTCGCAACTAGAGAGGTCTGAATAAATTGTTGTGATATATAAACGTAATTAATAACGGCTGGTTACATTATTCCATCATCTTCCTGGACAGCATGTGATTTTAGCGCCATTTGGAAATAATTTTTTAGTTTTTCTGTTTTTATACCAAGACATATATATACACACACTTTTGTTATAATAATAGTTAGATATATATATATATATATATGGATAATAAGGTTATTTGAAAATATTGAATTGTTGATGTTATTGTATAAACAGATGACTGGAAAAATAACAAAACATGCAACGTGGAGGGTACAAACTACAAAACATGCATGTTTGTAATATTTGCATGTGAGAGCGAACACGAAACGTGTTTTGTTTTCTTGCTCGGATACAGTACGGACATTGGTTTTTTGTTCGCGACAATGCGCATCTCGGTTTGGTCCATATATACTAAACCGCATAATACATTTTCTCGTCGTATTCAAATTAGATATAATTAAAATGTAATCGAATACCAACATCGAATGGAATTAAACTCTAAGAATCAATTATAAACTAAAATTCAATAAAACAAAAGTATATTAATTAATATATTTTTCTAAATAAAAAATAATTTTAGAAAATAACTAATCTAAAATTTAATCGAGACTCAAAATATCCGCACCAAGTCACATCCAAAAACGAAATCACAAAATATTATATGTGCTGTAATATAATATTAAGATGGAAGGATTTTATATATACATATATTACTTTTGTACGCCTCTGCATGTATACTAGTAGCGTCCCTCATGCAGAAGTTGATGACGTGTCATTAGACACACGCGTGACGCGTGTAACCTTATCAATGCTATCTGGGGACATGTATTGCGTTTCCGAGGTCTACACGTGTGTTGTTATAAAAAGAGTAAAAAAAGTGTGTAATATCCATATTTCTCTAGAAAGATCTATACTGGTGGTAATAAATTATATATTTTTTTGGTAAAGGGTAGTAAATTATATATATATATATATATATATATATTGTAAAATGCTGGAGGAAATATGTTTGGGTCCAAAAGTGAACTCAACACTAGAGGTAAAAATGAATAGAAAACTTTTCATAATAAATCAGGACAAATCCTAAAGCTAATAGAATTCACCACTTCACCCTAATATCACATCATAATACCATATGGAAAAATCCTCATTTTTTCATTTACCGAATATTTAACCCCATTTTTGTACAATAAATAATATCCGAAAATAAATAACTAAAACTGCAAACTCATATTAAAAAAAATAAAAATAAATACCATTATATCATACGGTAATATACTTATTCTCTCCACCTATTGGAGAATCTGGTGTAAATTTAATGATGGTCGCAGAGAAAACGAATCCAAAGAGCTGACACGGACACGTCAGCATAATTATGATGTAACGGCCGTTTGGTCTGGTTTGGTTCCGTCGTTTCATCTCCACGTCAATCCTACGTGTAACGCCCACCCCTCAGAACTAACGGCGCAAGTTGTTAGCGTTAGTAACGGACGTCTGCTTCCGTCGTTATAATGACATAAATACCCTTCGTCCAGAAACAGAAAGTTGTTGGAAATCTTTATCCATTTACTACACCCCTAAGCTTAAAAAAGGACCCCGGTACTTTATAATTGTACAATCAGATCCCGTATAAAGGGGTAAAACCCCTAAAAAACCTCCAACTTACTAAAATCTATACAAATAAACTTCTAACTTGTAAACGTGTCATTTTATCCCCAAACTTGCAACATATATCTGAATAAAACCTCCAACTCGCAATTTGATGGCCAATTAAACCGTTGACCCGTTTGACCAAATTTTCAGGTAATCGAAAATCCACGTTTGCTCGGAATATTGATGTCAGCACGTCCACATCAGATTTTGTAAATTTATTTCCGCCACATCAGCATGTCTGGTTTTGAAATTTAAACCGATTTGAGAAGACAAAAACCCGGTTTTCAATATACTAAACCGAATCGAAAACCCTAAAAATTGAAAGAGTAAAAATCGAAACCCTAATTTCATCCCCTTCAAAGAAATCTGAAAATTTCTTCAATCCACTTAACAATGGAGTTTCGATCATATGTTTGTCCCATCGAACTCATCAAATCGAGAGAGATTGGACAAACAAAATCCTTTGGAATCGTAATAAAAATATCCCTAATCTCCTGTGCAATAATCCCCTTTCTCAGCTTCTTCAGTTTCTCGATTCTCCACTCCAATCCATTTTCCTCGGATCTGAATAACAAAAACCTGCAGTAACGAGTAATCGCCTAAAACCTGTTAATCACAAATCCCATAGGCGCCATATCTCCATCATGATTCGCAATATGTTCATCCGAAAACTCGATTTCAGCTCTGCAACTCTTCGAATCTGTAATTCCGAATTTTTCCACAAAGAACGATCTTAGGTCCGACAAATCTGGCATCCGACCGTTTTCGAAGCTCGTTGAGGAACACATAGAACCTATCCCTCGATGCTTCGCCATTTTCATTTAAATTAATATACAATTTCGTGTTCCTGGATTGTTTCTATGATAGCTCGATCTTCTCTCTAATGTCTTCGCTCAGACCCAGAACATGTCCTTCACTGCTTCGTCATTTTCATCAACAAAAGCCAAGTTTAGTATATTGTGAGCAAATCTCATAAATTTCAGCCTCTTTTGGCTTACAACCATCAAAATTTCAAAGATTTCAGGGTCAGAAATCTGGAAAAGGAATGAAACATTGCAAATTTTCATATTTCTCTGAAGAGGATGAAATTAGGGTTTCGATTTTTACTCTTTTAATTTTTAGGGTTTTCGATTCGATTTAGTATATTGAAAACCAGGTTTTTTTCTTCTCAAATCGGTTTAAATTTCAAAACCAGACACGCTGATGTGGCGGAAATAAATTAAAAAATCTGATGTGGACGTACTGACATCAGTATTCCGAACACACGTGGATTTTCGATTACCTGAAAATTTGGTCAAACAGGTCAACGGTTTAATTGGCCATTAAATTGCGAGTTGGAGGTTTTATTCAGATACATGTTGCAAGTTTGGGGATAAAATGACACATTTGCAAGTTAGAGGTTTATTTGTATAGATTTTAGCAAGTTGGAGGTTTTTTAGGGGTTTTACCCCCAATTTAAATAAAAAATACAATTGAATAATATCTAATTATATTTGGAACCATTCTGATTAAAAATTAATAATTTAACAGTTTTATTAAAATCAAATTATTTGTATCTAATTCTAAATTGACCTTGATATAAAATTATTATTGCAAATAAATTAGTTTTGAATAAAACTATAGATAAAACTTATAAAAATTTCTAAATTTGTAAAATGACAGAAAATAAATTAATAAATTTTTCGGTATTCTCAAACTTGCAAAATATGTAATTATAATTTTTAAATTTATAAAATATATTATTATAATTCTAAAATTTATTAATTAGTGTTAGAACAAAATTTGGACGATATTGATTCATAAATGTTTACCCTAAACCTAAATTCAAACATAATTTTAAAGTATAAAATTTATAAAGATAACAATCTTAATGTCGCATCGCACAGATAAGGTCGAATAAAAGGAGCAGAAATATTATGAATTATCGGTAGAAAGGAATAATCACATCACATTACTATCTAACTTGTGAAATAATTCGCAATGATTTTTTTATTTTAAAAAAATATAGAAAGTGATTAAATATTGAAATTAATAAATTTGGTACGGGAGGGAGGTATGAGTTGTGTGACTAAGAAAGGCTACTCCTTTCGGTTGTCTGTAACTGTAACTCACTGATCTGTAATGAACCCTTTACCTTCTTTTTGTTGAAAAGACATTATCTGAATCCACTGCCTTTCAAATCATGTGCATTTATTATCTCCAATAAATTATTATCGGCATTGTTACTATTTCATATTTCGGATATTCTAAATTTGATTTATTTATATGGTTTTTACGAGAATTTGGATGATATAGGATATACATAATAATTGAAAACGATCATTTCTTTTATATATTTAAAAGATCAAATTCAGATAATACATACATAATATCTGCGGTTTTGAAAAAGAATTCATAATTATTATTTTTATAAAAAATTACATAAATTTTTAAAATTTTTAAATTATAGAAATCTATATATTTATTCGGATATTCAACAAGTCCTAAACCCAAACTTACAATAGAGAGTTTAAATTTTAATATAAAAACCAATCATAACGAAATTGTTACTTCACACTTAATATACAAAAATTTGATATAAATTAATTTAGTTATTTTAAAAAGTTTCAGATATATAATTTACTTATACAGATACTGTTAATTCAAAGAAAAAAAACTACCAAAATATTTTATGAGAAATACGAAGAAATTATTTTTCAAATTGGACAAAATCACGTTTAAAACTTTAAATGCGTAAATAGTCCTAGCGAATAAACATGGTTGTGTAACACTTATACGGGGCAACTATACACTATAAGTCCACATATATATCTGAACATTTGAAGAAATGGGTTACTTTTTATCCAAACAAATTACCTTTTTTTTTTAATTTCAGATAAAATACCATGGTTAAGATTTTTTTAAAATAAATATAATTTTCCTTTTCAATAAAACTTCAAAATATTATTTTAAGATCACGCGTAAATGGCTTGAGCTTGTGGACAGACAAACATTAATTGGTTGGTGAGTAACCAATCTTTTCATAACACATTAATCAAGCAAATGTTTGTTGA